AAAAAAATGTTCAGAGGTTGAAAAAAGAGGTTGAGGGGTTGAATAAATAGGTTGAGGTGTTGAAAAAATAGGTTAGGGGGTTGAACAAATAGGTTAGGGGGTTGAAAAAATAGGTTAGGGGGTTGAAAAAAGAGGGCGGGGGGTTGAAAAAATAGGTGGAGGTTGGAAAAATAGGGTCGGGGGGTTGGAAAAATAGGTGACCCAAAAAGTAAGGCCTTCCTGCCATGAAGAAGCGCCCCACCAAGGACACCAAGCTTATGCCAATCCCGTTTTGGCTTTGGCGGGTGCACAGGTGCCTGCGGCACCGGCGGCGGTGCGAATGGTCGCGGGAAACTTACATTCGGGCTTGTTTGGTACACGAAGTATTGGTACCCATAGTATTTGCACATAGTATTGGTACCCATAGCTTGCTTGGTTGAGTTTTTCGGCACATAGTATGGGTTCTGATCTTCCTTGTGGATCCCATCGTTCGCGATGCACAAGGCTCGCAGGAGTTGTGCTGAGGCTGCTGTTTGTGAGGTGTTCGTTTGACAGCCTCAGGCTCACAGAGCCGATTAATTGGTCGTGTTTTGGTGAGCTGGACGCGCTGCCCCCGGCCACGTGCCGAAGGTGGACCATGCGTCAAGTTGCAAGGCCAAACGGTTGACCTCTTCCCATGTGCAACCCCAACAAATCCAGCATTTGCTATTTTGAATGCTATTCACATGTTGGGGCGCATTGACGGTCGGGCTTGGGGCAACGGCCAGAGAATGAGCGACTGGTTGGACGGCAGGGTGCTGATCGAACTAGGACTGGAAGTGCCCGGTGTGAATGCCCTTTGTCAAATCTACAGGGCATACAGCCACACTTACCAGGACCTTCAAAGTGACCTCTTTGGAGTCTCTAAGTGACCTCTGTAGGGACTAAGTGACCTCATTCTAGGATCTCTGTCAAGTTCGGTCACTCTGAAGGTCCTGGTACATGATTAAACCAGCACTATCGATCCTCGGGAGCAAACCCGCGAGCCGCCAGGTCGGCCGGTGTCGGTGGACCTTCGGCGCAGGTCCTCTACATGTTTGCCTGGTTCCGCAGTAGCGGTGAAATCCTGCGGGCGAACGTGGCGAGTGCCGCGGAGCTCTTTGAGCGGAGCATTTTTGCGAGCCCATGCCAGCTGGAGCAGGGATGGGGACAGAAAGGTTCGCAATCGTGTGCGCACATTTGGAGGACTGCCGAAATCGCATCAGAGAGCCTTTGTTCCCTGATCCAGTGATGTTAGGAAGGTCATTGCCCATCAGTATCAGCATTCATGTTTTTCAGTGTGAAGTGATGACGGGAGATAGAAGAAAGGAGCTGAGGATTTGAAGCACTTTTTTGTAGCCATATGATCTTAGAAGGAGATTGCCCTGTGTATGGCGGCCTCCGAATAGACACAACCAAATCCCAAAAGCACTCCTTGGCGAGACAAATCTAGAAACCTGCTCCTGTCTAACTGCAGACCTATATCACAGCACACTTTGGGAGCATACTATAGCCATCATAATTCATAATCATCAACCTCTGTCTTGAGACCTTTGTGAGAGATGATGTGTTCTGAATGAAATTCATCGACCGGGCGGAAGCTGGAAAAAGACTTTAAACAGAATCAGCGGACCGTCTCAAACACAGCCAGGGGCCCCTTTCCGGGTTGAGAAAAAGTGATCTTGACGTTTCGTCACTGTTCCGCCACGTTTCATGCTTCTATGACGAACTGGACATGCGTTTTTGTCTGTGGGTGCATCTCGTTTCGTGCATGAGGCCAGCCGGAGAATGAGTTCGAGGTCTGGCACGAGAATGCCTGTGACGCTCGGGTAGGATTGGGAGCCAATGGCGCTCGGAACCCGCCTGGCGCAGTCCGCAGTGGTCACATCCAAATGCAACCACCCGGCTCTACAGTCTACAGGTAAGGTTGCTGGGCCTTAATTAGCAGGTCTCAATTGGTGACCTGTTGTAGGGTGCTGGTAATGTCAAATATCCGAACAACAATACCAAGAAGAAGCTTGGCCACAGATTCAGATACTGTAGTTATATATGTACATGCACGAAAACACCTCGCGGATATGCTTGGATGTCTTGGTCAGTGTGCCATTTGCTCCGAACACATTGCACACTGCGCAGGTGGAACTCTCGAGCTTCCGTGGGATTTCAGATTTGTTCATCCGCTTCCAGTGTTGTGGGGAGGTGGGGTTCAAACTCGTTGTCTTCAGTCATGTTCAGGGTGCATCCCAGACAATCCATGCATGTGTTCCTACAGGAGGAGGTTTGAGGGGTTGAAGGTACGGCACATCTTCCGATTGCAGAGGGTGTTTGTGGCTATTCTGGTCTTTAGAATTCTCACCATGGATTTCTGGCCGTGCAAAGACAGTGGATTCACCACCAAGGTCTTCCATGTATATATCTAAGCTTGGAAGGACCCCTTTGAGCTCCACCATCCTCAAAACTCGATGCGTTCAACGAATCGCATGCCAACGAATCGATGCCTGTGATGTGTGTGTTTTTCCAGTGGGGAGACCCGCCAGGCAGTCCGAGCCCCCGGAAGGTTCGGGAAATAGACAAGTCAGGGGTGTCTCCCTATTCAACATGCACATGTGTCAGTGATGTCTCAAGGATATCCGCTGGACCCATGCGATCCTCCTGTACCACTGGCTGTCCCAGACGGAGCCTGGCTGGAGTCCCACTGCGCAGCTCTACGCACGGAAGTCCGAAGATCTGTTCCAGGGGATCAAGCGGGTGAAGAGGTACAGTGCCTGGGCAATGTGAAAAAGAGGTCCCAGAAACATGTGGAATAGAAGGCATGGAAGGAGAGTCTTATTGGCGTGCTTTTTCCGGGGCGGTGTGCACGTTCTGAACACAGACACCCATCTCTTGGATGATCTTGGATGTGGCAACGGCATCACTTGGGTGCTTTGGGGATTTGATCCCGAATCGATCTGTGCTGTTTTGTATTTTTGTGCTCATCCATGCTCCATCTAATTGAATTCTTTTGGACTCCGGTGTGGGTGTTTTTTTCTCATCGGCACTCTGCTCTTTGCCACGTCAACCCCTTCGTCGCACCGTGAAGATCGCTTCGCACTGGCACACTCGACCTGCTTTCGTTCGAAGCCCCGCGCCCCCGTGTCTTAATCCAGGTGTGGCGGCGGAGGTGTGGAAGAGCCCAGCGCACATCAACTTCAACAGCCGCTTGGCGCGGCAGAACCCAGCAGAACCGAGCCACGCCAGCAGAACCGGGCGCGGTGTTGGATGCACCAACCTTGAGACCTCGAGATACCCCCTTGGTATTGAGCTCCTGTTGTTGAGCCGGGCAGGTTAGGTTCCAGTTTTTTTCCTGTTGGTCAGTCATTTGGTGAAGAGGCCTCGTTCCAGGGTCGTGGCAGTCGACCTGGATTCGGTTGTGATACCGACCGGCCCTTCAATCTTTTAAAAGCTTGGAGGACCTTCCAATCTGGAAGAAGTTTTTTGTTTCCTTCAATTGTCCCAAGTGTTACAGGACTGCTGCGCAGGGAAGAGGTTAGAAAGATTGGCAAGAAGAAGTGCAGGGGTGGAGGGGTTGTGGCACCGAGTTTGGGCCGCGCTATGCCATGCTATGCCATGCTACTTCTGACCAATATTCAATATATAATTATGGGGCAGAGTGAGATGGGCAAGCACATAGCACATGTCACGCTTCACATCTGTGCCAAACGTTGGTTCCATGGCGCCCGAGTGATGTGGTGAGGTATCATCTTTGCAGGCAAGCCCTCGAGACCAGTGTGGAACACCCAGGAAGTGCCTCTGGGGCGCTGGCTGGACGCCCGGATGAACCGATGGGCGGGCGAGAGCCTCGAGCCTCTCGGGCGCGCCCGTGAATTAGCGCCACATGGAGCTTGAAGGTTTACTAAACAGGTGGTTCATGACCAACCCATAGTTTCTTTTGTTTGGTGTGAGCAACATTGGGAATTGACCCATGGCACGGTGTAGTCCAAACCAGTGACAAGACATTTTCAGGTCCACTTTCGCTAACATGGATTGGTTCTGTGAGCATCCGCCCTGAGCGCCCTGAGCGTCCTGAGTTGTGCGGGTGGGGCACAAAGGGGTGGATAGGGTTGAGCTCACTGAAGATGCCAAATCAAAAACGGAACAAACCATCACCGAAACAATCCACGATCTTCAAATACCTAAGTTTGACAGTATCAAGAGCTATCAATAGCCCCTATGTGGCAGCCCTTTTTCCAACCCTTGTGACTCCTAGGAAGAGATGCATCCCATCTTCAAAGCTGAGCTGGATGCAATTCTGGAGGAACCTGGTGCAGCTTGGACACAGTGAAGGGCGAGTGTGATTTCTGGACAGCATGGACCTAGCATTCATGACATGTGACGCATGGACTCCACACAGGGTACACCAGCACGTTCGTCGCTACCGCAAGGGCGGGATCAAAGAGCCAGAAAAGCATGCTGGCCGGTTGGCCATTGCGCCTTCGCGTCGTCGGTCGACGCAGTCCGTGTTCGGTTGTGCTACCTTCATGGTAGCGGAGCCCCCAAAGCGGGGCTCCTCGGTTCGCCATGGTTGAATCTGCTGCAGTCCCGACCTGGAGTGGGGACCCTTCGGAGTTTGAAAGCTTCGTGATAGCGTGCCGCTGGTTTGAAAAGTCGCTCAAGCCGAGCGAGAGAACCCAAGCTGCACCGAAGATTTGGGCTCGCTTGACTGGACCTGCAAAGGCCGTGGTTAAGCACCTAGATCCAGATGAATTTGCATCGGACGAAGGACTTCAGCGTTTGTTGACAGTGTTGAGGACATCTCCCCTTCAGCAACTCCCAGTTCCTGACAGCTTCAAGCGCCTAGATGTTTGGCATCATTTGAAGAGGGGTCAACAGGAAAGCATTCCAGAACTCCCTGTCAGGGAAGAAGATTTGTTTGTGCAATTGCAACAGGCCCTCAAGCGTGCAAGACAAGACCGCAATTTGTTGTCGCACGCTGACCTTGTTCGAGACCCGGTTGCACGACCTCCGCCTTCAACGCCATCCCAAAGCCCCATCAATCTGACCGGATCCCGGTATGCTGACCGGATCCCGCCAGATACACCGCAGGAGGCACGGGATAGGGCACCTGGTGGTGACGCTTCGACATCAGTTGTTGGTGATTTTTTTGAAGATGAGTTGAGGGGGTACCGCCTCTTGAAGGCGGCAAGATTGTCGACTGCTGAACGTCAAAATGTTTTGACGCAAACAGGCAACTCCACGGCATTCCACATGATCAGAAGAGCATTGAGGACATTGTTTGCCACCGAGGAGGATGCCGAGCAATCACGGGGCTGGACCCGAAAGCAGCAGGTATGGTGGAACGAGGACGCTGGTTACGACCAATCGCATGAGGATCATTGGATTGAAGAATGGCCCTATGACGATTGGTATGGCGATCCAGGGCATGATGAAGAAGCCTACTGGCACGCCTGGCCAGGTCACGATGAGGAGTGGATGGAAGATTCACCTTGGTCAGAATGGCCACCAGATGAATTGCCAGTTGCAGAAGGTGACGAAGATCCACTTGAACAGCAATATGCTGAGGCCTACACCTTGGCCAACGAGGCCCAAAAGACCTTAGCTGAGGCAAGAGATGCAGTGCGCCGAGTGCGCCAAGCTCGGGGCTACTACGCACCTGAGTCCATGACAGGCAAGGGCAAGACAAAGTCGCCGGCATCAAGCCCTTCCAGTGGAGGCAAGAGCTCATTTTCTGGGAAGAGCGGCTGGGGACCTTGCTTCATTTGCGGCAAGCCAAACCACAGTTACCGTCAGTGCCCGGACCGTTTTGCCAAAGGTCGATCGACTTCGCACAAGGGCTCTGGCAAGGGACTCGGCAAGGGCTTCAAGGGAAAGTCCAAGAAGGGCAAGGGTTTTGGCAAGCCAATTCAGTTTCATTCTTTGACAGTTCCCCTGTTTCCATTGCACGTTTATTTCAAGGAACAAGTGCAGGGCTGTCGTGTGATCATCGATACAGGGGCATCTGAGAATGCTGTCGGCTCCACCGCTCTCCAGCACATGCTTGAAGCATCAGGACTGGACCATGAGGTGACCACGGCAGACCGCCCGGTTTTTCGCTTTGGCAACGGCCTACAAGCTCAGGCCAAGAGCCGTGTCGATCTGAAGGGAACTTCACTGGGCTCGATTTCCTTTTACGTGTTGGGCAATGAGGCTCACCAGACTCCGCCACTCATGGGCGGAAAGACATTGAGAGAGCTAAAAGCAATGCTGGCCTATGAGCGCAATTTGTTTTTGTATCAAGCACCTCATGAGGAGACATGGTCAGCAGTTCAGATGGCACCGCATGCATCATCACATGTTTCCATTGATTTGTTGGAGAAGGCAGTCGCAACAGATTTGAGTGTTTTTGGTATGAGCAGTGCAAATCAATCAGTTGTGGAACGTGTTTCTTTGCCACCAACAGTTTTGATGATGTCCACTTCTTGTTTGAGTATGCCATCAACAGCCGATTCCACTAGCACCTTGGCTCGAAGGCTGGAAGATCTTCGGACCCGGATCGCTCGACATGGACAAGGCCAAGCTGCCATGCGCTGTGGACGATCCAAGAGCTCTCAGCAGCTTTCCCTGCTTTGGGGAACCCAAGATGAGGCAGAACCAGTACGCCAGCTGGACGACATGTCAGGCTTGCGGCCTGCGGACCAGCTATGTGAGCAAGAAGGACTTCGAGGGCGACTCGAGGCACATGGGCCCGCACCCGCACTTGATCAGTGCAGCTCTGGAGCAACTCCGTCAGACCATGCCGGCAAGTCAGGTGAGCGAGAAGATCGTGAACGGCAAGGTCATGGAGCTCAAGGGCATCCAGTTGCAGCAGGGCCTCACGAACACCCAGGCCATCAACATGACCTTCCCGGAGTACTGCAAGAGGATGGGCATCTCGATGAAGTCAAACCCAACCTCTCCGGCAAGGGAGAAGAGCCCGGCATCTCCGGCTCCAAAGGCCAAGATCCATCCGACGGCTGCGGGACTTCCAATTCCCCAGACGGAGCTCCTGAAGATGGCGGCAGCCAAGTTTCTGGAATCCTTGGACCCAGAGGAGATCAGCGAGTTTGTGACGGGCGAGAAGTCCAAGGAAGAGATCTTGGCGTCCCGAAGGAACATCAAGAAGGAGCCCAAGGAGGATGTGGTGTTGGGAGCCATCTCGATCGCATCATCGGAGGAGGAGCCGGAGGAGGTGAAGAATGCACCAGGAGTCGCATCGGGCAACTCTGGTGCTCACTGAGGAGCTTGCGAGAAAGGGCAGCCAGTGTGATGAAGACTGGCCACGACATTACGTGCACCACGCGCACTACGAGCACTACGAACGCATCGGCACCTTTGGGTACCACACGACATGGCCCTCCAAAAGAGCACATAGACTGTGCCATCCAGTTTGAATCTGGCATCAGTCCTGGTGGAGGAGATGAGAATGAGGCCGCAAGGGATCTTCCTTTGCCCGGGCCTGGAGGTGGAAAGCGAGCTGGTGTGGCTCCATCAACGGCAAGGAAATTGGCCACCAACATGGCAGTCATCGGTGCCCTCATCACAGCACCTATGCATGGCCTATTTGGCATGATGTCTGATCAGGCCGACTTCTGTGAGGTGGCATGTGCTCCGACTTCCTCTCTGTCGGAATGCATGGCTTCGATGGGCTACAACATCCAGCGCATCAACTACAAGGAAGGCTTTGATTTGGAGAAGAAAGAAGGCACTATGAAGTTTGGTGAACTGATGTCTTCGAAGCCTCCAAGACAGACATGGGTGAGCCTTCCATGCACCAGATTGACAGGTTTGACCAATCTGACCCAACGTGATGAGTATGAGTGGGCAGCATTTGAGAAAAGGGTGAACCGTGATTTGAAAAGAGCAGACGAAGTGGTGCAAAGTCTGGAACCTGTTCTGGCAAGTGATGGTCATGTGAGCTGGGAGTGGCCCACAGGTGCATCCAAAGGCTGGAGATCCTCCGCAATCAAGCGTCTTCAGCGACTTTGCCAGAAACATCGTCGACCATTGTTTTGGTGCAAGTTCCACGGATGTGCTTATGGTTTGACCTACAAGGGCTACCCTGTTCAGAAGAGTTGGACTGTCTGCACCACAGATCGAAACATTTGGTTGGCACTTCAAAAGCGATGTCCAGGTCATGATGAACACGTTCATTGCCGGGGCACCGTGGCTCAGGCATCGGCCTACTACCCGGAGAAGATGGTTCAGGCCGTCTGCAAGGCAATCGAGCAGACATCGACCTGGGCGGACAATCAAAGCTCATGGTCCTTGACGAAGGACATCGAAACCTACTTCATTGACCTTCCCAATGGTGCCAACAACATCACGGTAGAGCATGAGGGCATCCTCATGGAGGAGGAATCAAAGGAATGGAGATGGTATGAGCAGTTGGCTCGAGAGGAGGACCCGGCCATTTTGGCCATTTCGAAGCGTCGTTTTCCTTCCGAAGCACCAACTGGCAGGAGATTGGAGTTGATCAAGGCTCAAATGCTTCGGGTCCACAAGGCTAGTGGACACACTTCCATGGCCAACCTTCAACGACTTCTTCGAGCGCGTCATGCTCCCGACTGGGCTGTGCAGTTGGCGGGCAAGCTCAAGTGCCCAGACTGTGCAGAGTCAAAGCTTCCTGCGTCAGCACCTGTCGCCTCCCTCAACGAGACGCCAGGACTTCTGGAAGTTGTTGGAAGCGATGTGTTCGAGTACGAGTTCCAGAACAACAAGTACAAGTTCATGTTGATGAGGGACCGTGCAAGTGGTGTGGCCATGGTTGAGCTTTTCAAGAAGTACGGCGGCCCTGAAGGCCCACCATCATGGGAGCCAAGGTCTGAGGATGTGATTCGCATCTTTGGCCGCTGGATGATGTTCTACCCTGCTCCCAAGTGGTTCCTGACAGATTCAGCGACATACTATACGTCGCAGCTGGTGATGGACTATGCCGGACGTTCCGGCATCGGCTTGTTGACTACGCCTGCTGAATCTCATCAAATGCTTGGAGCAGAGGAGGGTTGCATTCGCATCCTGAAGTCGACGGCCGACCGTCTTTTGAAAGAAGAGCCAAACACTTCCGTTGAACTGGCCATGATCTTGGCAGCTCATGGACACAACCAGTCCATAGGACCTTCTGGATATTCACCTTTCCAATGGGTCCGAGGCTCTTCAGCACCTTTAGAGAACATGCCGATTGGAGTGGAACCCCGCAAGGCATTTGACGGCATGCTCAAGCTCAAGGAGAAGGCAAGAGTGGCCTTTGAGATGGAGTCTGCACGAGTGAGACTCTCGAAGCTTGGCAACACAGTTCCTCAACCTGTTACCTCCTTCAAGGCTGGACAGTTGGTGATGCTATGGCGGCAGAGGAACAAGCCAGGCAAAACGACAGGCACATGGATTGGACCAATCCGACTTCTTCTACAAGAAGGCAACACTTTGTGGCTGGCAACCGGAGCAACTCTCATTCGTGCTAGGACGACTCAAGTGAGGCAGTGCACTCGTCGTGAGGAGATGAAGTCCATGCTTGAGGGTACAGCCATCCTCAAGCTTCCTGTCACTTTGGAAAGTCTCCTCCAATCCTTCACCGGACGACATTTCTCAGATGTCACTGGTCAGGTACCTTCCCAAGAGCAGCTACAACAAGATCTTCAAGGAGCTGAGATCAGACAGATGCCACAAGCTGTCTACAGACCAGACACGTGGAAGATCACAGAAGAAGGTGAACGTCGATGGCTCATCCGTGTGCACTCTCTCCCACGGTTGGCGATGTTCACACCATCACGGACTACATCATGCCCAGCAGCAGAGGATGAGTTGACAGGTCGTCGCATTACAATCCTCCGAGGTCTTCAAGAGAACTCCGAACAGTTCGAGATCAATGATGACTACAAGGAGTCTGAAGACCCCAATCGCTCTTTGCAAGACCGCTGGGTTGGTGAGACCAAGTTTGAGATGAAGCAGTCCGCGCCCAAGCCTGGGCGTGAAAAAAGAGAGAAGCCGCTCCCTGTTGACACTGGCCAGAAGAAGTCCAAAGGAACCAAGGCTGGCATCAAGAGGAAGAGCGAAGCGGCGCAAAGCAGCAATTCCAAACGAGGTCCAGAACATGAACCACCCGATGAACAACAAGGATCCGTGCTGCCAGATGTGCCGGGAATTAGCCCGTTGACTACCGCCCTCCGAGACCGCGGTCCTTCCGCAGTCGATGGCGTTCCGGGCGTGCATGACAAGCCTCCGTGTTCCACATCGGAGTGCAAGCTTCCTGGCGGCCATAGTGGCCCCCACATGGATGCAGATGGCTCGCAGTTTACATGGTCCAAGCAAGACGGCCGTGTTGATGTTGAACCTGAAGCTGAGGAGCTCGAGGTCCCAAGTGAAGTTGAGTCCGAGGAGTCCGCAGCCTCTTCAGCAGAGCTCATGACTGAGCGAGAGATCCACCTGCTGCAGGACAACAATACAACCCCAAAGAACAAGACTCCCAAGGAGGTATTCTTTGCCCTTGAGATCGATGTCTCGGAGCCAGATCTGAAGTTTTTGTCGAAGCACCCTGCCAAATCCTCTATTTGGCTGTCTCGCAAGATGCAAGAGAAAGGACGAGAGCTTCGCTGGTCACAGATGACATTGGATCAGAAGCAGGAGATAGCAGGAGTTTGACATTGCCCAAGCACGTGAGCTTTCTAATGTTCTTGGATCCAAAGCTTTGAGGTCTTTGTCAAAAGCTGAGTTTGCATCCTTGGACCCCAAGAAGATGCTCCGGATGCGATGGGTCCTGACCCGCAAGGCGTCAGGTGAGGCGAAGGCTCGCCTAGTCGTGCTGGGATTCATGGCGCCAAACATTGGCGAAGTGGAAACAGCTGCACCTACCATGGCGCGATTGTCCAGGAAGCTCCTTTTGGCAATTTGCGCTAACAACGGCTTCAACCTACAGGCTGGTGATGTGACAGCTGCATTTCTACAGGCCGCGGAAAGCTTGGAATCTCAGGAGCTGAATGTTTGGACTCCGGCTGAGCTTGCAGTGTTGTTTGGGGCCGATCCGAACCATCCGGTTATGCCGGCTCGGGTCTCCAAGGCCTTCTACGGTTTGGTGCAGTCGCCTCGATGTTGGTTCAATGATTTGTGCAACACAATGAAGAGCATTGGTTGGGAGACAATCCTGGGAGACCGCTGCTTGTTCGTGTTGTTTGATGACAGTCGCAACCTGATCGGCATTGCAGGAGTTCACGTCGATGACGTGTTGATCGGTGGTTCAAGTCATCCAAAGTTCACTGAATCATTGCAAGCTTTGAAGTCAAAGTACACATGGGGCAAATGGGAGTCTGAAGACATGGACTTTGCAGGTTGTCACATTCGTCAAAGCCCAACCACCAAGGAGATCCGCATTGACCAGAAGGACTACATCCAGAAATGGCTGGATGAGATGGAGCTCTCTCCAAGTCGCTCCAAGGAGGTGAAGTCCTACCTGACGACCTCAGAAGTGTCCTAACTCCGAGGTGTTCTCGGATCAGCTGCCTGGAAGGCCAGTCAATCTGGCCCTCACTATGCTGCAGACATTGGCTTGCTCCTGAGCGAAGTTCCATTTGCAACAGTACAGACAGCATTGAAAGCAAACAAGTTGGTTCGTGAAATCAAGCGCACTTCAGAGCAGTGTTTGATTTTTCCACATTGGGGATCACACTGGCAGGATTTGTCGATCATCACATGGAGTGACGCTGGCCAACAAAACAGACCCGACAAAGGGTCGACGCTGGGAGTGTTGTCTGGACTTGCCCCCAAGGGCATTTTGCATGGCGAGGAGCACATTGTGGCAGTGTTGTCGTGGAAGTCGGCAAAGACACCACGCCAGGTGTTGGGAAGCAATGGAGCAGAGATCCAAGGGATCACAGAGGGCGAGGACAACACCTTCAAAATCAGGGCCATGTGGGCCGAGCTGCATGGCGTTGTGCTGGAACGCCATTCCATGTACCACCAGGTACGAGATTGCACGACAGGAGCAATCGTCATGGACTCAAGAGGCATTTTTGATGCCATGTCCAGGAATGTTTCAGCGCTTCACGGCTTAAGGTCGGCTAGGGCAGGATATGAACTTTCAATTTCTGTACAGCAAGCCCTTCAGATTTCAACAGCTCTCCGCTGGGTGAACGGGCTAGCTCAGTTAGCCGATTGCCTCACGAAAGGCAACGAACGCCGTTCCTTTTTGCAGTTCCTTGCAGCCGGCCAGAAGTGGCGCCTTGTAGATGATGAGAAGTTCACTGCAGGCCGAAAGCTGAAGAAGAAGGCTTTGCAAGAAGCCATTCGGCACCAGCAGGAATTTTTCGTAAAGGTCCTCGAAGGATGGTCCTCTGAGAACAATTGGTGCTGGGAACCCGCTTTGGAGTCCAGAAATGGGGTTGATGTGATTTCTGGACAGCATGGACCTAGCATTCATGACATGTGACGCATGGACTCCACACAGGGTACACCAGCACGTTCGTCGCTACCGCAAGGGCGGGATCAAAGAGCCAGAAAAGCATGCTGGCCGGTTGGCCATTGCGCCTTCGCGTCGTCGGTCGACGCAGTCCGTGTTCGGTTGTGCTACCTTCAGCGAGGTACTGAAATTATATAGGGGCGGGGGCTCGCTTAGTCGTCGGCTTTTGGATCGCTTAGTCGTCGGTTTTTGGATCGCTTTTGGCGAATGTTACATATGACTATGACTTTAACTTGAAGTGCATGTCGCAATCCCCGATGGCTAAGTGATCCCTTTGCCGGTAAGTAGGGTGGGACGGGACGAGAAATCGAGGCCTGGAATCTTGTGCCAAACAGGGTGAAACTTTCCAAGTGGGAACACCCAGTGGACACCCACTGGTGAGGAATACCCAGTGGACACCCACTGCTGATCAGTGTGTCTTATTCCTCTCATCTGAAGGTGACCGTCTTTCTCAGCTGAGGATGTCTTTGGGCAGCTCATGCAGCTGGACCCTTCCCGTGAGCATTTGGCCACTCCGGGCGGCTGGGACACCTTGCGGCCGCTTGGAACGGCGACCGCCGCGGGTTCGGGCGCGGTGAGCGAGCGATGGGCTGCGTGGGCGCGGACGGATGCATGTGGTCGTCGTCCCCAACAATGGTCATGTGGTACGTCTGGAACTTTAGGGAGAGATGGTTAGAGATTTATTTTGAAGGTTGGATGAAGGGTTGGTATCCCAACTTGGCTGAGGTCTACTTTTGGTGTGTTGCCATTGGGGGTGGTCGAAAAACAACCATAGACATCCATAGACCATGGAGCTCTCGCTACGAGTGGGTGTGGGCGACAACACCGTGTGGGGGTTCATGCTGCTCCAAGGTCTTTGGTCCTAAGATGGTGAGGTTTGTGCACACAGCTGCTACAACAACTATAGAGCTGCTACTGCAACAGCTACGTACGCTGCTACTCCTACTACTTTCACTGCTACATACTTCCACTACTGCTGCTCCTGCTACTAGTCCTACTGCTACTCCTACTCCTACTACTCCTACGACGACGACGACTGCTGTACTACTTATAGTAATATACCGCTAGGCTATTGTTGCCAATTGTAGGGCAATAAATGCCACTAGGGTACTGTACAACAACTACTGCCGCTGTTGTACTGCTGCTCCTGCTACAGTTGCTGGGAGTACTGGCATGAGATTGTGCTGTTGCTGTGGCTGTGGTTGTGGTTGTGGTTGTTGTTTTTTGTTTTGATTGTTGTTGTGATCGTGGTCGTGGTCGTGGTTGTGGTGGTTGTGGTTGTTGTTGTTGTTCTTCTTCTTCTGGGCGCCACGATCCGCAGCTTAGGATCGTGCGGTATCACCACTGGTACGACATTTTCTGCCAGGCCGTGGGATGGGCCCCTCACTCGAAAAGAGTCAACTCGAACTCTTTTCGGGATCCTGAAACATGGGACACTCTAATGGTTGAACCTGACATCAGAATGCACCCTTAGAAGTATCATTGGTGACCCCCCTTTCAGGGGCTTTGTGGCCAGCACTTGGGTGCCAACGAAGCGAACCCAGGCACCAGAAGCGAACACTGGTTGTTGATTGTTGTTTCCAGATCTGGAGATGTTTTGAGCTTGCTCGTTCTTTAGGCTTGCCCAGACAGATGGACGAAGACAGAGAGAGAGAGAGAGAGAGAGAGACAGAGAGAGAGAGAGAGAGAGAGGGAGAAGGAGAGAGCGAAACATTGGAATGTCACTGTTTGTGGCTACCTTCTTTTGGAAGGGGTGCTGCCCACTAAACGGATAGATTGATACATGCTGTACCCCCCAAGAATCCAAGACCCCATCTAGGACCTTGCAAATGATCCGCCCGTTGGTCAGAGTATCCCATGAACCCAGATGACCCCACATGTTTGGACATAGCTCCTTGCATATGAATCATGAGAACCAACCATGTCACTTCGGGACCCAGCACCATTAAACAAGTACCATTCAACTTGCTGGGGCTTTTGTGCTCCGCCGGATGGCCGACTGGCCGTGCTCCGTCCAAGTCCCGGCCAGTTGGCACCCGAGACCTGCGAGCTGATCAAGACCCGGCCGGAGATCAACGAGTGCAAGTTCATGAACGTGAACTATGACGCCTGGATGCGGAAAGAACTAGATCTGGCGACAGGGGTGGGTGGAACCAGAATGTGTTACTTTTTCCTCTTCTCGCAGGGATGATAGGGATGGATCCAATGCCAGAGGGTGTGTGTGTGTTTTTTTCGTTTCGTTCCATGGTGCTTTAGCCGTATGTAGCACCAAAGAGACCCGTCACATTGGCTGGGGTGGGGTGAGAACAACCATTTTTCAAACAATTGAGGGAAACTCGAGGCAGAGCTTCCCCAAAACGTAGGGAGTCTAGTGCATGGCTCGTAGACAGGAAGTCGCTCATGAAATGTTATGAACCGACAACACGTTTATCGAATTGCCTAGACTGGGTAACAAGCAGGACTTTGAAAGGATATCCTTTTCCCTATGAATTCCTCCGGCGCTGAGCACAAGGACATCCAAAGGTGATGACATCAGTTTCAAGGAGGAGTATCTTTGCTAGAAAGGATACAAGGGCTTGGAGTGTCTAGAATCTTGAGAATTTCTGAAAACATGGAAACGATGCTTGATCAGAATAATAAGAGTATAATAATAGTTGCGGTTGATCACATACATTGAGACACCAAGACTGTGGAGAAGGACGCGCACATGTAAAAACAGTACCAGGGCTTGGACGTCCATTTGGGCCGGGCTTGGTATATTTTGGGGAACACCACCTGATCCAGAACTCCAAGCAATCACCTCTTAAGGCACTCAAACCATTTGACCACTGAGTTGGGGGATCAGACACACTGAAAATTGACCCCGTTGCGTTGGCAGAAGCGGGTTGTGACTTTTGCGCGAAGACACGAAGACACGCGAAGACACGAAGACACGCGAAGACACGAAGACACGAAGACCCGAAGACACGAAGACACACGAAGACACGAAGACACACGAAGACGCGAAGATATGAAGACACGAAGACACGAAGACGCGAAGATATAGACACGAAGACACGAAGACGCGAAGATATGAAGACACGAAGACACGAAGACCCGAAGACACGAAGGTACGCGAAGACACGCGAAGACACGAAGACACGCGAAGACACGAACACGCGAAGACACGAAGATACGCGAAGACACGAAGAGGCTTCAGGTCTTCAAGGCTTCAGGTCGTCACCAGGCTTCAGGTCTTCAAGGCTTCAGGTCGTCACCAGGCTTCAGGTCTTCAAGGCTTCAGGTCGTCACCAGGCTTCAGGTCTTCAAGGCTTCAGGTCGTCACTAGGCTTCAGGTCGTCAGCAGGGTTTCAAGGCTTCAAGTCTTCATGTCTTCAGAGGAAAGTCACCCGGGACTGCCAGCACACTGATTAACCCGTTGAGTCTCAGAAAACATGCAAGGACTACCATCTCATTTCAGACCCTTCCGCCCTTTTTTTTCCAGCCTCCTTGCGGCGAACGAGGTGCGCTTGAATCCTGGAACCCACCTGAAGCCACACTATGGCCACTCGAAGTTCTATGTCGGGAACGGGTCTCATTGGGCAGGTATGGCTGCGGGTTAAAACCAGGATAAGTGGGTTGGCTGACTTACCTGGAAGGTCAAGCTACATGGTGGACCAGGGCTCCAGGTTATTAGACCCATCTCGGGTAGGGATGCCATCCACTCCCTGGTTGGGTCGAGGAACTCCTCCCGGAATCCAACTCCAGGCCCAGAGGAGACGTGTAGACCGCTTGCAACCCTGACCCCACAAAGCGCATCAAAGCACTCTCGTGACCCTGAGGTTCAGAGGTGCACCTGAAGAATTGTTGGGACACCCACCATCCAACCCGGAAAACATGTTTGTTGGTGTTGTGCGTTTCTGTTTCCCATATCTACTATGTACCATCTATGAACCGCTCCATCAATTCCATACCACGGCCCCCCTAAACTAAGGGGTGTCTATTCATAATTATCCCTAGCCCATTAGAGGCTGAGGGCTGTCCAGGAACCAGGCCTGGTAGACGTTGGTCCCGGGCATCGAGGCAACGGCCCACGGCTCTCAGCGCATTTGTCGGTGAAGGCTCCAGAGCCGATGAAGGCTGCACTGACCGCGCCTGGGTCCGGATGCGGAGCACCCGAGGGTTGGTGTGCCAAATCCCCCAGAACCAAGCCCGAGGCTTTGAAAGCCAAGCCGCCCCTTTTCTCGAAAGGGGGAAAACAATGGAAAACATGAAACATGTAAAGAAACCATCTCCCCGTTCCTGGACAGCAAATCACTGCTTCAAGATGTCTGAGGAATTCCCCATGTCTGAAGGACTCGAGCGTTGAATGAACGAATTGCCCATGACCCGGTCATGGACCATCCATTTCTGCTGTCGTTTCACCTTGACTCGGATGTCGACTCGTGGAGGGCCAGGCGGTTGGAAAAGTCCCCATCCAGTCCGGTTCCCGGGGGGGTTCCCCCTATCACATATCATGTTCGGCACCCCGGCATGATATGTGACTCCCGGAATCTAGTTTCTTCTTGACCAGGCCAGGTGAGCAATGCCCCATCCATCTGTTGGACGCTCCTTTCTTCCTGCTCGCGGCCCCGCCTGAGGTGGCAGATCAACGGCGGCTTTGGGTGGAGGGTGAAGCCATCGTGTTCGACGACACGTATCCTCACATGGTGAGCCATTGGGGTGAACAGCCTCGGTATGTGATCCTTGTTTGGTTTTGCCATCCCTGTGATGGTGGCAATCCTCATAATCAGACCTGCCCCAGCGAGTAGGGATGCATCATTTTCCCCAAGACTTCCCGGTCTTTGGGCTGCGTAGTTTAGGAGTTTAGAGCCATGTTGCTGCTTGGCCTGCTGATTGAGACATCTTGAGACATCCAATCATCCTGGCACAGAGCAAGGCATAGGCATTAACTATTGCAGACCGCAGAAGTCGCGGCACAGTTCGAAGCAGTCAAGCCAGCCCATGGCACTAAGTATTTGTCCCGTCGAACGGTGCAGCGAGCCACCAGCGCTTGATTTGGGCGACCGATGCTCGCCTTGTGTTCCATTGCAGTGGAAGAAGGGTGTGGCGGGTGCATGTGCGAACGTGATGGTACGGCCAGCATGGGCTCCACGCATAGCTGAAACAAGGGGAGGAGTGAACAAGGGGAGGAGTGTTGATCCAATTTCTTCAAAGCCGAATTCGTGGGCTTTCCCGGGCCAAGGCTCCGGTGGCTAAACTTGGCCTGACTTCGCCGGCCGATGGGTGGGCACCGATCGGTTCCACGGGCTAGTTTAAGCCATGGCTAGTTTATGTGTGTTTTCCCCCAATCACCTGCTCCTTCTGAATCTCCATCTCGTGTGTCAAGACAGACACTCCTGGCCACTGACCTGCGTTGATCCTTGCTTCATGCGGGGCCATTTGGTTCAACCGGCTAGGTCCTGGCAAGGGAGATTTGCTGACTTCAGCATTTGGTGCATGACCGGTCTCACAATTCTCATACGGAACTCCGGGTCTTTAACTAGGACTCTTCGGGCCCTTCAACTGCGCGTTGCTGACAAGGCCTGAACATATAGCCTTCAAGAGCTTCCATTTCTACCAGGGCTGTCCAGTTCCAGCATTCACATCTTCCAATCAGGCAGTGCAGGCTTTCATCTTACTCCTTCCATTTGAGTTCCGGAACAAGCCCGTCCGACCCAATGCGTGTCGCCGAAGCTGGTTCCGCCCATGCCGCGCGTGGCCCAGCTGGCGCGTCTGGGCGCCTTCGAGAAAGCGCCGTGTCCGGGCTCTGGCTATAAGGCGCAGGGAGGGAGGGCTTGGGATATTCTGGCCAATCAGACTAGAGAGTACAAGACCAACGTACTTGGGAGAGTGTGGTGCCTGGTTGGGTGCCTATTCTCGCCTCCTGATCACCTGCATCTGGTAGCGTTCTGCCTAGCACCTGCCCGCATGGTTTGCGGATGCCTGCACGGTCCTTTTCGTATTGTCCCTGCCCCGGCAGATGTCTGCATTTTCGATCTGAGTCTCCCATATTGGTTCCGTTTTGCCCTGGGTCTCCGACGTTTAGGGGAAGTTGCCGTTGGGCGTCTCTGTGAGACGACTCCAGGACGAGTCATGCCAGCCAGAGAGAGAGAGAGAGAGACCAGAGCGTAGGATGGTGTAGGCGGACGCATGCTTCAAACCGAACTACCCAAAACCATTTTTAGGTTGACATTCTCCAGTACCAAGTCAATTTCCCTCATCTTGGGACGAACGGCGTCGGTCATGGAGTTTGACTATGACTATATGATTATGAGGACGCGCTGGTGACTTGAATGGTCTGCTTTCACCCGAGCAATATTTCCGGAGAACAAGGCACCGGCAAGTCTAACTTGTCATTGTATCACGTAAAGAATCGTAAAGATACCTTTATACTACCATGCGTCAATGAGCACATCCACTATTCCCCATCCACTGGAAGTCTGACCACACCTGCGCGGTGGCGAACGCCTGGCCTCGCCTCGCTACCCCTCAGGTCCCAGGCAGCGCAGGGGAACGGACGGCCCTGGAGGATGGTCCTCTCCTGGACGACTCCGAGCGGTCGAACTTGAAGGCCCCCCACCCCCCGACGCGGAGCGGATCCGCGCGAGAAACCAGTCGTGTGCAGCGGTGGAGTGGCTGAGGGTCGGGTGTGGAGTTCGATCGGAGGCGAATGGGCCATGTAATGGTATCATGTTCTGGAAAGGAGCGTGTTGAGGCTGGGAGGCTTGGGGTGGGGCTATATATTTGCGAGGCAGAGGGCAATGCATGCAAGAGAAGTTTCAACATGTTCCAAACAAGCCGCGACACATGTGTGAGAGTGAGAGGTTAAACGGTTGCATATATTATCCTAGGACCACCTCCGAAATCCTCCAATCAGGATTCACCAACGAGTCCTTGAAAGTTGGTCAGATGTCAAGAGTGTTACGGTGTCAATCGTCCCGGGCGGTGCCTCATCTTGGTTTGCAGGTGGAAGAAGAAGATGACGACGACCTTCCAGAGCTGGTGGAGAGGAAGGCCTTCGAGGGGAAGCGCTGGATGGAGCCGCAGAAAGCACTCGAGGCGGTGCGTTGGCTGGTTTCTTGGATTTGTCCGCGCAGGGGGCAGAAGGTGGAAGAAATGAACAAGTCAATACAAGTCATATTATGAGGTTCAGGCCGGCATGACGTGGGCATACAGTTTTTGGGTCAAGAATGCGAACATCAAGGTAGGGACATTGACTGATGGCGAGGGATGGGAGTCGGGCGGCGGCCAAGCGGGAGTGCCTCCCCAACCAGACTGGGAGGCACACGATGGCACACGAGAGATGCCTGGACCAAGGTGCCTGGTTCCGATGCTGTTGTGTATATTACAAGGTTTGTCAGACCGCACCAGCGAGTTGTCAGACCGCACCAGTGAGTTCCAATTGTACAAGTCAAGGACCTCATTGGACGATCAATCCGGGAAAATGGATGAACATTGCAAAAACCAGTTCTCAACGAGGTCAAGGACCAGGTTTAACTTGGCCCTTGGACTTGTAATAGAGTATATTTATTTATTCTAGATATTATTATTCTATTATACAATTTACTATAGCAGTCCAATTTCCATGTTCCGGTTACTTGTGGGGTCTCCGGGTGTAGGTCAGGCCTCCTTCCCGCATCCTCGTCTCGAAATGGCCAAGGTCTCCGGACAAAGCGCCTCCTTAGGACCCAGCCGCCCAGCGCCACCCTTTGGTTTGGGCGTCACGTGCCGCGTGCTGGGCTTCTGGGGCTCTTCAGGGGAGGAGATCCGAGAAGAGCTGCGCTGGGACGGGACGCAGTACCTCTGCAGCTTGGAGGTGCCACCAGGAGAGGATGCCATGTTCCAGATCGACGTGGAAGGAGCTGCAAGTGCAGGGGTGTTTCTTGGAAGGCGGGGTGAGCCAGTCCTCACACCCTCTCCTGATGTGGGCTAGCTCGGATGATTCGGAGTCCAGTGCGGGAGCCGTGTACCGGCCTCTTCGGCCTCCATCCTATGGATTCGGCGCCGTCCTGTTCGTGTGAGGAGTTGGCCGGATGTATCCCAGCCTGGAAGGGGCCAATCCCGGGCTTCGTCATGAGTTGTTGGGCCCCGAGCCTTTGACAGAGGAGGGCGATGGCTGGTGGGGCTTGGGCTGGTGGTGTTTAGGAATGGCGAGTTGGCAGGGTTCTCAGTGGCCCCTGTGCTGGTGTCATCTTTGCCAGTCTCAGTCTATCTCAGTGTTCCGAAACAAACTGGGGTGCTTGGTTGGTAGAGCCTGCAGCAAGCAAGGGCGGAGAAAAGGTGTGCATTCTGTTTGTGAAGTATTGGGACGTTTGGCTAGGGGATGTTTTTTTTGGGGGGCTCTGTTCCCCTTTTTTGACAAGATACTCACAAGCCAGTCCAGTGGTCAAATATTCACGATGCTCCTTCGCCCGCATACAGTTTATGCAGACTAAATGGATATAGCCAGGTACGACATGGAGTACAACATGGAGTACAACATGGTACAACACCAGCTGGTCTCCCTCCAAGTGCAGGTCAGACATTCCCATCGCTGGGTGGGCTCTCCGCTTGGCCAACTCAGGACCCACCACATCCAGAGCAAGCCTCGTGGTTCTTGGACTCGGTGCGACGCCCGCGGCGCGGCACCGTCTTCGTGGCCTGCCCCAGGGGCTGCGCAGCGGCCTTGGGCTGGAGATTTGATGGGGAAGCTCGGTGAGAAGAAACATCCACAGCATAGCCAGCATAGCCAGCATGAGATGTATGTGTTCTCCCCCAGAGCAACCCTTCGTGAAGAAGTCTTTGACTCCTCGGATCAAGGGCTTCATATGAATGTATTGTTGGAGCAGAGATCTTGGACTTGCACCAGGTGCGGCAAACGACTACTTCCTTAGTTGATAGGCTCCTCAGGTTTTCCGCCAGCTCCATGGGCTTCTTGTGCTTTCTTCATCCCAGGAGGAGATCCCAAGGGAAACAGAAGACTGGCACGAGATGGGCCCATGGCTCATTTCCAGCACCCTGGCCAAATATGAGAGAAGATGGATGGACTGGTCCGGTTTGGCATTCCTACGTATACACCGATATATTTTGTTTAAAACATGTGGTATATCATGGTGTAACACACACATGCACATTTATATCTACAAGTGCGCGCGCGCCAAACATGCACCTAGAAGATGCGTTGCTTTGAAACATACTTTGATTTCTTGACAGGCGGAACGCTCGTGTATCAAGCCTAGCACGTCTCATCCTCACCAGAGGTCGGGTACCAGTCAACTAGACCACTCACAGTCATATGAGCAAAGGTTGGGCCCCTTAAAACTGAAGAGGAACTGTCCATGACTCATGACCACTATTTCCACAGTGAAATTCGACCTCCATTTGGTTTGGTGTCGCACGAGAATTGGCTTCTTCAATGGTGGTTCTGAGATGTTCATTGATCATTTAATCATATAGTGGTGTTTTGGGCAGTATCCACACGTCCGACATGTTCACCAACTCATGTCCGTGGTGTTTGGGGACTGTCCACCGCGACTGGCAGCCGAGTCGAGGTCATATCGGCCAGGGCAAGCAGGGCGCCGTGGTGTGCACCGGACGTTGGCCGGGGGCTGGGCTGGGCGGTGTGGTGGCGGTGAAGTATCCGGTGGAGCCGGAGGAACTGAAGCTCTACGCGCGAGTGCACGATTTGGCCGGCCTACCAGAGCCCTGGCGAAGAGCTGGGACGGCTCAAAGGCTTGTGGAGAGGAAGGTCCAGCCTGTGAGGTGGCAAGAAGATTGTCATACGACCCTGTGCCGGGAGCAACCTGAAACCTCAGATGGTTCCTCTAGTGACTCCAGTGGTGAATCTGGGAAGATCTGATGTTGCTGGCGTTGGACCGCGTTCGGATCTGGACTCCAGGATCTGGTGGATTTCGGCCGCTTGCCCAAGCATTCGGAGAAGACGGGTTATTACATGGCCACCCGGACCGAAGCAGGAGCGGAGCGGAGCCAGGAGAACCCAGCGATGGGACTCAAGCGGGGTCATGACGTGGGGTGTTTTGGGGCCAGGGCGTTCGTGAGGCTGTAGCTGGGCTCCTTTCTCCACACGGTTTGGGAATGACATGTCAGCATATGCCAGAATTACCAGGCTCATCCAGGCTCTATAAAGATCTGCCGCCTTCTTCCAGAGGACGCAAGGCACCTGACTGCACCAGGAGGGTCGCCCTCCCAAGCCCATTTCAGAAGAACAGAGGACATTCTATACGTTATTCAGATCGATCTACAATCTTTGTGCTATAACTAGAAGATATTAGAAGTATGAGAATGTTCTGCTTTCAAATCGTCATGTGGGCCCACTGGCCCAGAGAAGCGGCGGAGTCCAGAGCTGCTCATTCTGAGGCGATGTCCAAAAGCGAGCCTTGCCTGGACATTTTGCTGCGTGGACAGCTCCATATCCACGATCCCACTCCGCAGATCTTGGGCCGAATTAGCTGGCCAGTGGTGGCTGGCATGGGCCTGCGGCTCTTGCGCACTCTCGAGGTGGGGCTGGTTTCTAGGGATGGTGGAATAGGGTGGACGGCGAAGGGGAAGAGCAGAGATGTTTGGAGGGTTCGGAAGACCACTAAAGATATGAAAAGATGCCTGGATATGAACTGAAATATTTCGGAATGTTTGGGATTCTCAATGGATTGTCCCTGGTGTTTGAACCTCTCTGCGTGCAGGCTATACACCTACGAGGCTGGAGTATTCAGGGTGGATCTCAAGTGCTTCCGAGCGAGCCACAGAGCGAGCCACGGCAAGGGTGGGGTTGTTTGAAAGAACTCTCGGTTTCATTGGCAAGGAATTTGGAGAAGGAATTTGGAGCCTACCAGACATCACATGCATCAAAACGGCCACATGATTCATTTCATAACCTTCAGTTGTACTGTATTTAATTCCAAGAAGGCTCTGGCAGTCTTCCGGCAATGCCCCACTTATCACCACTTTTTGCACCCGCTGGCTCCACAGGCATCATCCATTGTGATCTGAAGCCTGGGCCTCTTGGTGAAGTGCGCGGATCAAATCGGAACAAGCGGACCTAAACATTTGACATGGGCGGTGGTTAGCCTTTCAACATAGTCTTGCGTTGATCTTTGAAGCTGTGGATGCCCTCTACAAAGGTGAGTTGTGGACATATAGTTGTGGACATGGGGGACGGGCAGAAAGCTCTGTGATCGCTGGTGGTGGATTTGGGTAGATCCACCTGCCGGTGGCTTTCGCTGCAGAAAAAAAGATTGCGGAGCGGGTTTGATGCTGAGAGTATCTGAGAATTGGATGCAGCAAGCTCCGGCCACATGTTCATCTCAATTTCATTAATGTTGGTTGATAGAAACCGCCCCGGAATGCATGGAGATGTACAATCATTCTCGTTTGGAAGGGAGGTTTATGGATCAGTCTACATCGCTCCCCAGCGCGCTGCCAGTGTCTCCAGGAACGTCCTGCTCCACCGCCGGGCGCCCCACGTGCAACTCATCGATCTGGGCCGCGCCGGCGACAAAGGGCGCACATCGTTCGAGCCGGGCCAGGGCGGCATGCGAGACTACATGTCCATCAAGCACCTGGGCGTCAGCAGGCGGAGGAACGTCCAGACGCAAGGCCCATGGCTTTTTTGGGGCACACTGAACACGGGGTCGAACATGTGTTGATATGACCGCGCACACACATCATATCATATCACACACCGGATAGTATGCACTTACATCTCAAGGCTTTCTTGGCTGCCCAAGGTCATAGGAGCACCTTTATCTGGGCAAAGTGGGGTGCAGGATGTTGTTTGACAACAGTGCTTGATGCAAGCCAGGTGTGCTTTCCCTCACCTGAGGTCTGGCTTAGAGGGCGGACGGCGCACCAGCGCAGATGATGTGGAGCCCCTGGGGCTCCAGAAATGAACCTCGCGTCAGGTTTGGATTGACCATTAATTCATAGTTCCTTAATCTCCATCAGAAACAAGACACTACTAGGTTGGAGGCCATCGCTATTAGCTTGGAGACCACTACTACTAGTACTGTAACTAGTAATTCAGAAGCATATCGTTTTCGCAGTTCGGTGCACCACCTGCCCCCCCCGCACCTCTCCCGGCACCTCTCCCAGCACCTCTCCCGTTTGCCGTTTGGAGTCGTCGCTCGTCGGCCCGGCCATTGGGATCGCCATGGACACTGAGACGGTCAGGACCTGGTGGAGGAACATGGCCTTTCCGGGTTTTCCGCAGGAAAAACACGCGTTTCTGTTTGAAGATGTTTTGCTCGAGCTAACTATGGGTGACTGACTCGACATGCTGGGCTGGTGTGAAGACCGGAATCTCTTGGACTTTCTGGTGGCTGGTGGCATCGATGCAGCGGAAGGGCCTTATTGAATCCTTATGACAAATCCACCACCAGGGTCACCAGGGTCACTGCAATTTGGATTCCACAGGCCCACGAGGGCCACGTGGGATGGCTTGCCATCTCCTCATCAGTCCAGTCTGCGGTTTGTTTTCGCTGCAGGTCATTGGGTTGGTTTCTGCTTCGGCTTCTTCTGGGTCGCTGCCCTTGGAGTGCGAAAGTGAAGCCGCACCCTTCAGAGACTTGGGAAGAAGGAGAGCTGGGTGGCTGCCCTCGGGTGCCAATGAATGCATGCGAATCCAGGGCTGAGAAGCACAGGAATTGAATGTCCAATACGTGTAACTATAGTAGTTTCAGAATACATGGCACAAACCCAAAGATGTCTTTTATATGTTTTTTTTTTTTTTTTTTTTTTTTATATATATGGGGGTCCATATAACCAACCTTTTGGGGATTGCGCCATCTACTCTGAAAACACTGTATATGCATGGTTCAGGTGTTGCTTTGTTTTCTTAGCTTTGCTGACTGCTCTATTGGCAGGCAGAGGGCAACTTCAGGCTCCCAAACTTGAGTCGTGGGATCAGTTGGTTCGCAAGGAGAGTGAGCACTAGCACATAGACAAGAAAACCGCAAGAAGGCTCCAAAACAAACACACACACACACACATCCAATTAACTTATATAAATGGATTAGCATCACATGGATGCAACAATTGCACCAAGGGAGTGGCTGGGCTTGGATCAGAAGACTTGGCTGGTAGAGATTGACTTAAAGCAGCATGATTCCGAATTCCTGCACAACCAGAGCACGTGCACAGAACTTACAAAAATGGTCAAGTCACATGAGCTACAGGAAGGTATCACAAGTTACCGTATGCAAATTACAACGAGCACAGCCGGGAGCAAAACAACGGGTGGCATTTTCCTTTTGCAGTCAGTGTTTGCTTCATTCCGTCTAGATAGTTTCTGGACAGTGAGGTGTTGTGGTACACAGGTTGCACACGGAGTGCCAGAATTGAACACAAAAAGGTACCAGCATGTTCTGGCCAACTGGTGGCGAGACATGATGAAACATGATGAAGCCAGATGAAGGGGTGCTCCAATAGAAAAGTGAACCTATTAACGAACACTTGCCTAGGTGAGCTAGAACCATTGTTCGGGTACGCACGAACCCTGACGCGCACTGCCAGGAGGCGCTCGTGTGGCCCGTGAGAAGCTTCGTTTTTTGGAGGAGGGCGGCCTGAAGCGCTTTGCGCCGGAGTGATCAGACTGCAGAGGGTGGGAAGTGAGGAAGGGCGAAGACCAACGGAAGTCCGTTGAGACCGAGACCTGACTCCCGTCTTTTGACGTGGCCGGTATGGCCAGCTGGTTTGGGTGGAGGTGATTGACGAAGCTGAGCAAGCTCGGTAAACACCTATTCAAAAACTCGGTGGCTCAAGCCACTTGAAGGGTGAATCTTTTCGTTAGATGACCAGCACCAAAGGCTGCGGAAGATGCAATGTCCACGAACGTGGTTGGGGTTTGGGCATCAATTCTATGCTATTCTGATACTTCGTTTGGTCCCAAAGCACTTGACGACATTGATATGTGTCAATTGGTCACGGCGAGATAGTGATCGAATGATCCAAGCAAGAGAGTCGACTTCACGGCGGGGGATTGAGAGAGAGAGAGAGAGATAGAGAATCAACACAAACAAGTACATGATGCAAGTGTCCATGATTCCCACATTCAACTGGCCAAAGCCGCGGCTCCTTCAGGTGTCGCTTCTGTCCTCCCTTCCTCATGTCCTTCCTCCGCCGCGCACGCTCGGCGGCGGGACACGAGCTGGCCCCAGCGGAGTACGACGCGCTAGCGGAGCTTCTGGTGAAGGGCACCGACGTCCAAGGGCCCTTGGAGCTGGAGAGCAAGTTGGAACAGCTCCTTGGAACTATAGGTCTAGCTTGAATTGAAGGGCTGTGGCTGACCTAGTCCAGCTGTAACACCTATGGAGAGTGAATCACAGCATATTGAAATCGGTGGGATCTGCTGCGAAGCGGCCTTTTTTAAGCACACGGTCTGTGCAATTCTCTGCACAGCCTTGAAGGGCCAAACGGAGGCCAAACGCAGGCCCTCCGCTTGGGCGGTGGTACTGACCAGCGGAACCCTCGACTGCAGGGAGTCGAAATTAACAGGCCTCAGGCATTGCCAGGATCGCCTGTGGGCGAAACGAGGAGGCCCAAAGAAGTGCAGTTTTTCAGAGAGAGAGAGACGAAGTGTGTGTGAGAGGGTCACTAGACGCGAAGACAACAAATACAAGCAAGAACATGCCAACAAATACCAGCTGGAGCAAGGAGTCACTCAGAGTCCTCCAAATTACCTGGTGGCCGTATAGGAGTTTTCTTCTGACAGACCAATCAGAATGTTGCTGACTTCTGTCAATTGTTCATCAATGAGGTGGGTCTCTGGCTATTATGCCGCGCGGGATGCTGGCATCCTGAAGAAAGGCATGTGGCCATATGCAGGCGGGCTGGGCGGGTTGGTGCGCTTTTCTTCAGAACAGTTTGCCCGGGTGCCTGGTTTTCTTTTTTGGTAAAGGGCCAACGGAAATCAAGTTTTTCCGGAGCAATGGGCGGTTTTCACATAATTCGAGGCTATTGTGAGTGGCTTAGATTGAGGCTGTTGTGTGGTTCTGGTGGGCACATTTCCCAGCATTTTCATATCGCAATCGTCAAGTCACATTGACAACAACGTCATATTATGTCAAATGGTGTTTGTTATTGTTTGTTTATATATACTCTTTGGTTTGTGATGTTTGTGGCCATTCAACATTTCATGATGTCATTAGTCCAGTTTTACTTGCTTGATCTTCTTTGCTTCTCGAATCACGCCACGGTGCCCTGTGCCCAGGAGTGTGCACTCTCCACTGGTCACTTGGCTGGATTGCACTTGCGCGTTTGTGTGCAGAAACTTTGTTCGTGTCGGGGTTTGGGGCAACTTTGAAGGTCCCGCATTCACACGTTGGATCTACAGGTTGTTTTACATATTATTTACCAGGCTACCGCCTGCAGCCGCCGACCCCCGAGGGAAAATGTAGCGGAAAGGATGGTACGTGGAAGTAGCTGGCGCAGGTGTAGGGTTGCGCGAAGGAGTGGCATGAGTCCCGGGCTGGTCGCGGTGCCAGTGCCCTTGGTTATTCCTAGAGGTTGTCACGTTTTCCGAGGGATGTGTAGGATTTTCAAAGGCTTTGCCAGCATTTCCTTTGGAATGCTTCTGGTTTTTGCTAGATTTTGTAAATGCCCCGGAAGGAGTCTTTTGGGTTCCCAGACATGCTCAACAAATTGCTAACCCATTTTACCAGGGTGAGGCAGTTTTTTGCAGCAAGCGTGCAAACGTGCGGCAGCGCCTGCGAAGCTCGGTCAGCTGTGTGCCACGGTCGTGCGCAAGCAAGGGAGGAGACCGTAGCCGTTTGGACGGGGGGGGCATGTGCGCGTGATGGAATGTGTTCGGTGAAGCAGGCCGGTCGGGGGGATGGGAGGGTTGCTAGTTCCACGGTGGTAAGAAGGGCGTTGCCCATGAAAGGGGAAGGGAGCCGGACATGCACGGTGACATGGGCAGTGTGCCGCGGATATGGTGAGTTTCCCTTGAGAGCATGGAAAAGAGAACTGTGCGTGCGCGGAGCGTTTCGCGAGGGCAAAGCAAGTCGGGGGCTGCCTGTGTTTGATGAGGCGTGGAAGGGATATGTAGTGTTGTGTGACGTGAAGCCAGGGGATGTGAGCGGCGGGGCGTGGGGAGTGGGTTTGGTGTGGGAGGAATATGAGTTGTGAGTAGCCGGCAGCACTTGCTAAGGCAAAGCGTGGTAGGGTTTCCAGTGGCAGCTAGTAGGAAACGTGGTTTTAGTGCACATATCATTTGCAGGTATTGACGAGGACCGAGGCGAGCACGTTTCTGACACAGGATGGTACCTGGTACAGCGTCCAGGTGCTGTACACGGCCCTGTTCAGTGCCGGATACACTTTGGATATTGACAACCCCATCCACACCGCTGCAAGCCTGGAGAACTGCATTGGATGCATCCAAAATTGGCAGAATGCGCACTGGGTGGCTTACACCATGGTTGGGGAAGAGATTTTCCTCTGTGATTCCTTGAAGCCGCGGCCTGAGAAGATATCCGCAGCCGCGCTGGCAGCGACGCTGCCGCACTGCCCGACGTACGCCATCCGTGCATAGCTGCTCCTGGAAACCCCCCGGACGCGTGCCGTGCAGTGTCATTTCATCTCGCGCGACACAGTCGCCAAAGGGAACGCCTGCGAGAAAAAAGGCCACGGAAGGGAGCTGCCAGGCCAGGAAGCTTGTTGCCGTGCGTGGGTGGGCCGCGGTTTGTCTAGATACTTCTGTCGTCGTCTAGGGGCTCGGTGTTGTTATTCGGGTTCCCAGATTTTCTAACAAAATGCTAACCCATTTGCCGTGCTCTCTTCCTACTTTGGGGATGCAGTGACTATGCCATCCACTTCCCTGGAGGTCGGCGCCTGTCAGGCGTTGACCTGGTTGGGGACCCGGGGAGCTACCCATGGTGTTGGGTACCTTGTTGCCCATATATACCCCCCTGCCAAGGGTTCAAAACCGGGTCCCGCAAAGGAGGGTGATGATAACACCCCAGAAGGCTCTCGTAACCACAACGGGCATATTTTGTGACACATCCGTTCCTCTGTAGATCACAGTTGTTTTGAAACCACTATAGGTTGCTGACGTGTCACGGTAGCAGCCGCTTCGCACCCTGTGCGTTGTAATGTACGTCCCCTGAATTCCCGTTTTTATGTCCCCCTGTCCAGGCACCATCTATCGCCGAGGAGACCTCGCAGGCGAAGCCGCTCCTCGGAACCAGATCCCGCTCTGTGTTGCTTTTTGGGCTCCCAGATTTGCAAAGAAAATTGCCAACCCATTTTCTTCCGTTGTTGTTCTCGTTCCTTTCATGCGCTTTGCAAGCGTGTTCCGACGGTTCGCAACAGATGGAAGCAGTAGGCGGGTTAGCTTTTGTCGATGGTGCACAGGATCCTAAGATGCAATATCGAGGACGCGTTGTGTTCTACGTCCCGTGGTGGAGCAGGGCGCTGCCCATGGTATGGGGCCCCCCAAGGGTTCAGCCAACCAAGAAGACAGAAGAGAGCACGGAGAATGGGTTAGCTTTTTTTACAAAAATATGGGAACCTAAAAAGCACTACGGAAGGACCGCTCTCCCGCCAGGTGAGTTCCACCGGCGCGCTGGCAGCATGCCAGCACAGCACTAGTGAAGAGCAGAAAAAGCTTGCAGAGCGCAGCCACGAAATCTTTAGAGACATGATATGTTCCTGCAGCACCCAAGTAAGCAGGAGTAAAGCTTAGAACATCCTAGAAGTCCAGCGGAAAACGTTTGCAAATGGGGGAAAATAGGTTAGCTGCTTTCTTTGCAGATATGGGAAAGAAAGACCCAACACCGAGCCTTTACAAGTACCTAGACACACCAGAGGAAATGCTGGAAAGGCGTCTGAAAATTCTACAAAACCAGCGGAAAACGCGACAAAATCTAGCAAAAACCAAAGGCGCTAGCAGGAACCCGGCACCCGGTAAACACCTCGCCAAAACGCATAAAAGGCATCAGCGCTACAATGGAAGAAAATGGGTTAGCAATTTTCTCTGCAAAGCTGGGAACCCAAAAAGCAACACAGCCCTTTAGAAAGACCTAGAGTGACCAGGCATCCTGTCAAAACCTTTGGCGCGAGGACAACAATGGAAGAAAATGGGTTAGCAATTTTCTTTGCAAATCTGGGAACCCAAAAAGCAACACGGATCCTTTACAAAGACCTAGAGAAACCAGGCATCCTGTCAAAAGCTCTGCAAAGCGCATAAAAGGCAGGAGTACAAGAATGGAATAAAATGGGTTAGCAATTTTCTTCGCAAATCAGAGAACCCAAAAACCAACACGGGGCCTTCACAGATACCTAAATAAACCAGAGGAAATGCTGGAAAAGCAATTGAAAATCCTACAAGGTCAGCGCAAAACGTGACAAAATCTAGACAAATCCAAGGGCATTCCTAAGTTAATGCTGGAAAAGCCTTTGAAGATCCTACAAATCCAACGGAGAACGTGACAAAATCTAGAAAAAACCAAGGGCACTGGCAGGGACCACGCCGCGACCAAAACTTTTGCAAAGCGCATGAAAGGAATGAGGACAACAACGGAAGAAAATGGGTTAGCAATTTTCTTTGCAACTCTGGGAACCAAAAAAGCAACATAGAGCCTTTACAAAGACCTAAAGTAACCAGGCATCCTGTCAAAACCTTTGCAAAGCGCATGAAAGGCATGAGTACAACAATGGAATAGAATGGGTTAGCGATTTTCTGAGGAAATCTGGGAACCCAAAAACCAGAGGAAATGCTGGAAAAGCCTGTGAAACTCCTGCAAATCCAGCGGAAAACGTGACAAACTCTAGAAAACACCAAGGGCATGAAAATCCTACAAATCCAACGGAAAACGTGACCAAATCTAGGAAAAACCAAGGGCACTGGGAGGGACCAGGCCGCGACCAGCCCGGGACTCGAGACCGGTACCAGACATCCTGTCAAAACCTTTGCAAAGCGCATGAAAGGCATCAGTACAACAATGGAATAAAATTGGTTAGCAATTTTCTGGGGAAATCTGGGAACCCAAAAACCAGAGGAAATGCTAACAAATCCTTTGAATCGAATATCCTTTAAACCCAGCGGAAAACGTAACAAAATCTAGAAAAAGCCTAGAGCATTCCTAAGTAAATGCTGGAAAAGCCTTTGAAAATCCTACAAATACAACGGAAAACGTGACAAAATCTAGGAAAAATCAAGCGTATTGGCAGGGACAACGCCGCGACCAGCCCGGGATTCGAGCCCGGGACCATTTATGGACCGTGCTTATTTTCCCGCGCGGGTGGAGAGGGTGCCCCAAGATGTAATCAATTGGGATGGAGAAATCTTGGACAACTTTTGGAGAAATCTTGGCGAAATCTTGGCAGATTTCGGCAGATTTCGTCACTGCAACAAGGGTCCGGAGGGGTAGGGGAGGTAAGGTCAAGGCCAAGGACTAAGGCTAAGGATAAGGCTTAAGGCTAAGGCCATCGATCAACAGTCACGCCTCACCCCATGAGTGGGGTCGGCGGATATTTTATTACATATAGGATTCCGATCCAAAAGGTGTGCTCAGTGGGTTTTTCTCTTCGCCAGTGCAAGAACATTTCGCGTGTTCCTGAATTTCTGCTCCGAGCAGCCCACCTGGACCCCAAAGCTTCCACTGCTTTGTAAAGATAAGGGTGCCCCTCGTCCTCGAGGAGTTATCTCTTGCCACCCAAGCTTGCTCGCAGCTTCAAGGCTCTTTGTGAGCGAGGGCCCTCCAGCTGCAAAGCCATCACTAAAGCGGCTCCAGGCACAGAATGGTGCTGTTTCACCACCAGGAGGATCTTGATGGAAGTCCCCTTTTTTCGTTGTAGGATAGGTGGAGTGGGGCCTGGTCAATTTCTTTACCTGGTGGTCCTGTGAACCTGGTTCATCAACAGGAGATGAATGGGAGTCTTCCAGGACAGTCCGGCAGAAGAAGGCACGTATAGAGGCTTATTCGATAGATGTTGATAGCAAGAGATTGGACCGGATGAAAAGAACTCGGGATGCGGAAACGGCCACGGAAACTGCCGAGACCCACAGAGAGGGTCGTTGGAACACGAAGTTTGGATCGAAAAAAGGGGTCCCACATTTCAGACTCTTGATTTACAGTAACAAATAACCGAACCACTACACTTGGCTTGTAACGGGTGGTAGCATCTCTTCAATATTGATTCATATGGGGGTTTTATTCGTCAACAGTCTACATCCATCGATTGCCCACTCGCATGAATCCAGGTCTGCGCGGGTCTGGTGCTACGCCTCACCGGGGAAAAGGCAGCTTGACAGTCGGCTTAACACGACGAGGAAGGTGGTGAAACTGGTCTTCCCTCTGCCTCAGACGAAAGCCAAGACATGGGGGGACTGCCAGACTCGCAACGAAAAACATCGAAAAACCCTTCAAGTGGCAGGTGTTTTTCTCTTGGGATGAGCCTGCTTGTGCGTGTCACAAGCTTTGATCCAGCTCATGAGAAAGCCATAAATCCTGGAGAAAGCATCAGGTCTTGGACGAAACGACCGGATTTGGACTGCCCTTGGGAAATTGAGAAATCCTCCCAGTTTGGGGTCGCACTGCCCCGACCTGGACCTGGTGATTTCTGCGCCCAACAAACCAGCAAGCTGGCATAGAGAATTCGTTGAAACCATCTATTTTCAGAGAGTGAGACACTTGAGATTTAGGTCAGCTGCCATGCATAGTGCCATACCCTGTCCTTCCTGCTGGAGCGGAGGTCTCCGCAACCTTTTTGGTGGTTTTGTGGGCGAGAACTGCCCACGCATCAACTCACCAACGAGCTCAGGTTGAGATCGATGAGCGTGTTCCTCGCCGTTTGCAGATGCGTTCGAGACCGATGGTCGATTGATGTCGATGGTCCAGTTTTCGCTGAATTCACCTCGTTGTGGACTGCGAGATGTGAAAAAGAACACGGACACCAAACAACGACGTTTAAAGACGTGAAAGACACCTCCCTGGACCTTCCAATTCCTGGACCTGGGTGCCCCATCGAAAAAGACCCATACGTATAGTGCAGGGGGCTGGTCAGAAGGTGACCCCGACAGAAAGGTGCTGGTGCTGGTCAGAAGTACAACGGTTCAACCGGTTCCAGGTTTCTTTCGGTCGACCTGCAAGGGCATTTTTCCCGAGAAACCGGTGGCTGCTCCTAGCCCGGTGGCGGCGTTGTCCTGCTCCTGCGGCTGCGTTTGTAAAGAGTGAATTTAGATGATCTGAGACATCAATAAGCTTTCTTACAGTCAGTTCAACAACACAGGAGTGCATTGCATATAGGAGCATTTTGCAGGTTTTGGCTTTCATTCGGGAGAATCTCGCCAGATCTTCAGCGAACCCATCTCATTCCAACCACTTCTTCCAATTCCCAAACTTTCGTGCGATACCATAGCCATTGCATGTGTTCCAAACCCCCTGTCCTCCCGCCAAAACGGTGTCCGAACCTCGGTGTGGCGCCGCCGTGCCTCTGAGATCTGGATGGAGTTGGATCCTCTTTGGTCCCCGGGCTTGCCCGACGTCTTGCTGAAGCCGGGCTGGGTCCTCGCCGTGGGGCCTCCACCCACAGGAGCAGCACGGGGGAATGGTGCCGATGTTGGAGTCCGGGGCTGGGGGGAGGCTGGGAAACCATGGCTTTGCTGGGTGAATGGAGGAAATCGCTCAATATCTCAGTAAATGCTCAGATTTCTAACAGTAGTTTCAGCCGAAAGCCTGGATAGGTTCTGCACCTGGTCCAGCGATGTCGAGGGTCATGGAAACTCATGCAACATGAGAAGCTAGCAGCTTGCGCTGAGTCAGTATCGGACTCAAATCAGCCAGAAAATCGACATCTTACAGCTGGCTATTTAGTGTATAATATTTAGCATTATAATATGTATAACCACCTAAGACTGAAACGAACCAGAACCATGCATCTGGTGCAGCTTTCCAGGAGCCTCTGTTTCCCTTCGTGACCGGCCTCTAATCAACTGAAAACGTCCAAAAGATGAGCTTCCCTGAGGTGTTCTGATGTGTTTTGGGCAAGTAGTCAGGGTCAACCTACCCTTTGAAGATGCAGCCGCATCCATAACCATACAGTGGCGTTCTTCTCTTCCCAGTTCTTTTTTTAGTCTCTTGGAGGGGCAGTGACAACTGGAATCTGTCGCAATCCGGGTGCCAATCTCCCTCAGCTCCAGACATCTAGGAGGCCGGGCGGACACGTGGCTTGAGTGGGGTTTGGAGTTCCCCGTCGTGGAGAATGTGAAGGGCGTCCTCGACAAATCCGACTGACGCATACTGACGGAAGCTCCAGCTCAGCACAGGATTCGAAGTTGGACTTGAATCAGGAAGCACTTTAATATCATTGCACCATGTTGCAACCCTTTATGATCGTTGGTTGCAATCGATCCACTCCAGAATCATAGCAGATCAGCAGATCCAAGGCAGATCAGTGTTGAAGGGACTTTCTCACTTGTTGTCAGCAGAAATAGGACCTCGGAGTACATAGTTTTGAGCAGGGTTTGCGCCGAATAGGCATGCCTGTGCACGTCTCTGACAGAAGCGCAGACAAAACTGATGTGCGCAAATGCAGCTCAGGCATTTTGACAAAGTCCTTGGAAAACCATGCCATGGATATGAGGTTGGGAAAGCTGTTGACAACCCCAAGGCTATCCAGAAGCGCAGACCAAAGCATCTCTTTCCTGCTTACAGAGACCCTCAGGACTAGATCCAGAAGTGTTGCTCGGCCCTGTCCACCCTTTTGCACTTCTTGAGCCAAACTGGTGGCAAGATTGTAAGATCCATTAAGATCCTGATCTCCACAAGCTGCAAGTCGCGAGCCCTTCTTTATGCCACTGGGATGATGGAAACGGCTCCACGGCTGGGACCCGGCCAGTCCGTGTCAGCCCTTAGGTCAGCTGGACTCCGGCAGAATCTGAGAGTGGCGGTGAACCGGCCCACGTCGTGGTGAACTATACAAGCAAGCTGGAAGCTTTTTCGGAGTACCTGGCTTTTTGGGAGAAACTGGGTGCCAACTCCAGGCTGCGCAAAAGTGCCAAACCAGCCGGGCTCCGGGCAGGCATGGGTGATCTAATTAATGTGATTGTTAGGGTGTGAGATGACAGACGGACCCACTCATTGGGTGAGCCATTGTTATCAAACAATGATGTCAGAGGACATTATGTACTCTGTTTCATTGTGCTAATCGAGCTTTCTAATGGCTTTCCAGGATTGATTCCCTTTTTCACTTTTTTCTATTTTTCGGTGTCCTCATGTGTTCTCTGGTCCAGCACTGGTTTTGTTTGACTCCCTTTGATGTCCTTCTACTGCTGTTTTTCATCTTTTTGTGTGTGTGTGTATGTTTTGAATCTTTGAAGGTCTTCTCATTTCAATATGAAGGGGGCCCTGACTTGAAGAGCTTTGGTTTTGGCACAGAGGATTATTATCCTAGGTCCTAGACGTCGTTTTGCTCATGGCTTTTGCACGTGCGAACGTGAAGAAAGGGGAGACTTTACTATTTCAGGGGTTGTCAATGGCATTCAATGGCGAAAGAAAGGGCTTGGAACTTTGAACCATTGCTTGGCAAGCAATACTCTTGCATATCGTGTTAATGCAATTAGTTAAATGCAACACCTGTTAATGTACAGTAGATGTTGCGTTTGAGTATGCAACCCCTTGCAATGTCGAGCTCCTTTGCAAACCATGGATGGAAGCTTTGATCACATACGTGTGGGCGCAAAACACATGTTGACACCCCATTGTTGTCAATTTTGTTGATGTTGGCGGTAAAACACGGTCCAGCAACAAAGATGGCATTCTGAATGAAGGCGGGATATCCTTCATCTGGGTCACATGTTCGACTTTTTTCGTGATCAAAGAGCAGAACAGCCCCGTGAGGTGGCCGGAGGAAGGCAGGAATCCATGCCGGACGAGGGGAGGAGAGTTCATCTTTTGTCAATGGAGGTTTTCAGCGACTTCGTCAGCTGAAAGACCGTTCAGACATATTCTGAAGGTAGCACGTTTAACATGAACCAACCCTTGGCGAAACGATTTCATGCACCAATGGTCGCGTTGCATACAGAAAGTCCCCAACATGGCCTAAACGTGTAATAAGTACTTCTGAGATGCCATTCAACAAGATTCAGCATGTGTCCAAAAGCAGGCCACTTTCCAAAAGCGGGCGCCATGTCACCCTGAGCCAGTCTTGGGAGCCGCGGTGGTTGGTCAGCTGGCAAGCTGGCAGAAGGGTGCGGTCAAGGGTGGATGCTCCCAGATGCTAAAATGTATGAACATTTTGACGCCAGCATCTTACCATGTCAAGGTGCCTATTGGACAGGGCTGCCCATTTTGTGGGGAACTCCTGGTTTTGGATTCGCGACCAATGCCCTGGTCACTTGCGCGCTGGGCGAAAGAACTTTCGGACCATCCAAGACCCAAGTGAATCCACTGGAAATGTTGCTAGAGCAGCCATTTCCTATAGTTCAGGATGTGTTGCACTATGATAAGTACACAGCCTTTGGGCACAGTTGACACGCTCCAAACGCCTCCACAACATGTTGATCACTTTTTTGAGGGTTGGTTTCAGCTGCCAAGGTAGATGATGGAGTGTGCCATTTGCTATGAGCAATGTGTAGCTCGGACATCCTTGGGTCTGTTGTAGCATCCCTTGGCAGCCCTGGCATGTGCTTTCTGCTGCCGGATGCATTTGGTTTGAGTTTGGAGATTCCACGGTCAGGGATTTCCAGACATTCGAATTTGTCATGCCCAATGGTGACTTCGTTACTAACCATCTCCCAAAACATCAAATCTGAGGAATCTCTTCATGCAGCGTGTTCAATGATACTGATCCAATCAGTGTTTCATGTTTGCAAGCTGGGCATGGCTGCAGCCCATACAAGCAGTGTTGCTTCGAGGGTGTTTTAGTCTCCCCGTGGGTGAATTTCCTTTTGGGGAGGATTTTGTATTTTTCCGGGTTCTTTGAGCAACCCCCACCCAGTTTGTCGGTGGACTTCATGCACAGCTCAGCACGAGGTCAGGAAGAGTGCGATCAGGACACGTAGTAATCAGGTCGATTTGGACCTTTTTCGGCCTCATTTTGTGCAATTCTTTGTCCATGCGCACGATTGAGGAACCCTTGTCCATGCCATGCTGCGGAAAGGAAGGGGCAACCGTGGCGTATTGTCGACCATGTTTGGAGCCCTGGCTGCGAGACAGCGAAACCCGCACGTTAAATGGCAGCCAGGTGTGTAGTGGAACCTTTGCTTTTGACTGTGCATGTAATTGCTGTGATGCGAATGGCTCCTATTTTATGCATACGCGTTACTAGCACCACGAAGCACCCCGCTTGCTGCGCGCAGTCTTTGCATTGGAGCCAACAGTTATGGGGGTGGCAACATGGACTATTTCTGATTGATACACGTGGGACAGCCCCCACTTTGATCCTTGGCCTTGAGTAGATCCGCCATCGGCTCCAAGGAGGTCATTTGCCAGCTCGGCGGTGGAGTGGGCCGTTGCCCCACGTGCCGGCAGTGCCTTCGGATGGATGCTTGCCGGCAGTGCCTTCGGCGCCGGTGGACGCATCCAAGGATGTGCCAGGGCCATGTCTTCACTCTCAAGGGTTCGCAGGCCGCAGATGTGGTCGGAATTGGTTGGGGGGCATCAGCAGCCCTCAAAGCAGGTGGGTCAACTCGGTGGAGAGGCTCTGGTCATCATCGGTCCTCCCAAAAATAGACCCTTTTACCGTTTGGCCGGGGATTCTTCTTCGTCTGTTTGGAGAACACGTCGAAGGGTCCTCTCGTTTTTCAGGTCTTCAGGTATCGGGAGGTCAGAAGCTGCGCTCCACGCCATGCTCTTTGGTACCTTCCGGGAACAAACAGCGCTGTGAGGACGATGGAGTGCCGTCCATCACCGAGAATCGCGGCCAGTGCCAGATGTGCCGGCAGATGCACATCCTGGTCGACCAAGGCAGATCCGTCGGGAGTTAATTCACCAGCTTGCTGTTGCAAGTGTTGCTCACCCAACAGGCCCCTATAACGAGTAAAAAAACTCATCCCGATCCCGCTCCTAAAACATCACAGACGCCTCAGGCATGTGTGAAGCCTGCAATCTTGGGCGCCGATATGTCTTTCGCAACTTGGGACAGAACGACACAGGACAGAACTTTTGCTCTTTGCATGATCGTTAGGAGAACATGGTGTAGCTACGCGTGAGTGCCTAGGTCTCCAATTGTTGGATGTCAAAACTCAAAACAACACAGTGGGACCAGGTAATTATGGGGCAAAGAGGATGTTTGGTCTTGCGCGATGGAACCAGCGGAGTTCCAACAGCGCCCAAGTTGGGTTTTTGAACGCTTTGGATTTGCTTCAGGACTTTCCCGGCCACCTGAGGTCCCAGCCCCCAGCCAAGTATCCCAACAGCTCGATCTCCCAGGCTATGAATGCCAGCGCTGCCACCGGCTGCAGCGCATCCCACATCCCATGTGGCGCTATCAGGCCACGCCGACGGACTTTTCGAGCTCTACCTGGGCTTGCCACCAGGCGGGGTGTTCCTGTTTTTGCGCGCGCGCCCAAGTGGAAGGGTTTGGAATCCGGAGCTAGGATCCACTGGGTTTTCACAGCTGTCCCCTTACATGTCCCCTTTCAACATGCTGGTTTTCGACAATGAATGCTTTGCACGACCATTGACCATTGGAGATCAGTGATCTGAATTCTCCCTTGGCCCATTGGTTCGCTTCCCAAGCTGCAAGATGAGTGTTTGGGGACCCCTCACCCCGACACTCTGGATGCAGAGTGATGTGGAGGGAGAGTTACATTGTACCACTCATCAAACCAATGACAGTGCTTTCAGACAGCATGTCAAATCACTTTAAACATATATATATATAGGCATATATAAGTAAGCCTATAATCAGTTCTATAATCATATCAAAAAGATGCAACGCGGGAACGCATAAAATCCTTGTTTACACGAAGCGAATTAATGAAACACGAGTCATCATTTATATTCATTGTATTCATTTGTATATTGTATATTTGCCAGGGTTCCAGCCTGCCAGGGATTTGATCCTTGAGATCAGTAGAGGTGACCAAATGATCCTATGTATAGCAGCGGTTCAGGCTTCCTTCCCCATTTTCCACCCCGACTGCCCATCGCCAGGGCTGTGGTGACTACACCACTTGGCGCTTGGCACCCGAGGATGTGGGCCAGGTGGGCAGCCTTTCGTGCACCGAAGCTCCGGTGATCGATTCGCTGGAGAGGTGCCCGACATGGAATGTCCCGAGTCCTGGGGACGCCGAGAAGAATGGCTGGAGCAAGTGCGACGGCTGAGGTGGGAGGACTCAGGACGCACGTGGATTTGGTTCGGTCATGAGGTCAGGATGAGGCAGTGGGTGGAGGCCGAAGACTTGGAGGATGCGAAAACCGGAAGGCCATGTTGTCACAAAGTTTAGCGACATCACATTCGTCTGAAGGTGGCCATCGTGTTGTGGCACTCCTGCCAATGGACGAAATCCTGTATATGTCTTGAGGTGGTGAGAAACCTTCTCCCTCAACAAGTACCCGGACGATGCGTGACGCTGACAGTGACAATGCTGGTGGTTGGTTCTACTATAGCACCCGCGCACCTCCCTGTTTGACCGTCGCTTTTTCCGAGATGAACCGGGGCGGACCGGGAAGAAACCGAG